GATGTACAAATGTGCTTTACACAATTGATGTGTGTATGGATTGCGATGAGCCCCTAATAAAATGTTTAAAAAAAAAAAAAAGAACATCAAGTACTTGGTAGGAAACAGTCAGCTAACTAAATGGTACCAGGAATGCGAGATCCATCAATTATGGCTGTCCATCTTACATATTTTAAAATTATTTTTGTGATTAAAGGAAGCGTGTATTTGTTCACCTGAAAGTCTCTCTCTCTCTCTATATATATATGTATATATATATATATATATTCCATTTTCCATGAACTTTTTCAAGGTCCTGTTATTCATGTTTCATTTAAGATTTTGTTTGAAAAGAGTCTCACTGGCACAAAGTTTGAAAACCTTCATACTGGGAAGTAGTTTATGCTAACAAAAATTAAAAACAAAAAACCCCTGTAATTAAGAATTTTCGATTACATTTTAGTATACTATATTCTAGAAGAATTAATAGTTAATATTCTTATTAATTGCTCAATAAATTATCTTTATTATAATATAAACATCCTCATGTATACATATGATTATATTTTACCTTGTAATCCAAATTGTCAAAACAGTTGAAGACCACACAATGTTTTCCTAAGGACTGGGGAAAAAAATTACGATTTTAATGTATTTCTTGAACTACAACACAAAATAATAAATTTACATCTACTAGAGAAATGTCTTTATTCTTTTGTTTTTAGTTTTAGATGCTTAATTTCTTTGTATAAATATGATGTTATATAAATTTCTTTGTATAAAAATATTCCTGTACTTGCTTGTCCAATTTAGCATTGTAAGTGTCCTTCAATTTTAAAAAATATAAAGCTCAGCATTACAATTTTTAATGGCTACATCGCCCTCTAAATTATAAACATACCATAACCTGCCATGGTTGACTGTCTTTAACCTTTTGATAAACTCTTTGAAACAAAAAGATAAACTAGATAACAAACTTCAAGATTCACAAAACTCAATATATTATAAATATGTATATACCAATAGAGTTTAATTGATTAGTACAGGAAGCATTAAAGTTATCATTTTATACAAATCAACTAATAAGGAAGAAAATTAACCATGCTTATTTCTCTCTCTCCCTCACACACATAGTCCTATTAATCACAAACACTAGCCAAAAGTCTGTGTATTAGGCTTAAAAGGATTCACCCCTACTGTTGGTAGGCTAGTATAATGGTTTTCTAAGAAACTGCATGACTTACTGGGCTCCCAAGACCCAGCACAAAGGGGTATTCAAAATTTGACTAATTAAACTAATGGGTGTGCTTGTTAAATGCTATGAAATTTAAGATAATATTAGAGTTTTTGTGGAAAAGAAAATCAAAGAAGTTTCTACTATGGACATTAAAATCCACTTACTTTTGCGAGATCTTTGACAGTTTCAGTTTTCCCTGTACCCGTTGGCCCTGCAGGGCAGCCTCCGAGATTCAAGTGGAGTGCTCCCGTGAGAGTTAACCAGCATCTCTCTGTAAGCGGCGTAATCACCAGTCTTGGGGAACAGCCCAAGTATTCATAGCCATAAGTAAAACTAGCATTTCCTTGAGATACATAGCATATCTTTAGTTTTTCATTCCATTTATATTGCAAATGCCTGAAAATAATATTTGAATATTCACATTACTTAGGAAAATTGCTTTTGGTATTTTCTTACATACAAACATATAATAAAAAATTTACCTGAAATGTAGATGAAGAATCAAATTGAAATAAAAACATTAACATCCAATAAAGAGATGTAGGATTTATCAGTGACCATAATTGGATATGAAATATTAGGATGTCAAAGATTATAAACATATGAGTGTTTTTGTTCTTAAGGTAAGTGGTCTTCCTGAATATTCCTTTGATGTGATATCAGCCAAAACAGAGAATTTGTTTTTATTTCCACTGTGACATTTATTATCACTTCCAATAAGAAGTTGGTTGAAGATGTTCATTATCACCTGAATCCTAATTTTAGGGTACTTAAGAAAATGTTATTTATTCTAAGCATCAAAAACATTTTTTTAGAACACACATTTGCTTGCTGATTTGAGGACTAAGTCATTAAATAACAAGAAGACCAGCTTGTAGAGTTTTCGCTTCCCTATTATTCTCGCCCTTGAGGCGTAGGGCTCTGATCGTCAAGGTCAGGCATTTGAAACCACCAGCCATTCTATTGGAGAGAGACTAGGCTTTCTACTACCATAAAGAGTTTCAGCGTTGGGAACCCACGGGGGCAGTTCTACTCTGTCCTATAGAATCCCTCTGAGTTGGCATCGATTTGATGGCAGTGAGGTTTTTGTTTTTGAGTTAAAACAATAGTTTCCAACTTCTCAGTTCTTAACCATTGTCATGTTGGCAATGCTTTTTTTTTTTTTTTCCCCATAATGGCCTCTCGTATTGTTGTTAGGTCCCATGAAGTTAGTTTTGACTCAGCAACGGAAGAAAACACTTCTGGTCCTGGGCCATCCTCACAATCATTCCTATGCTGAGCCCATTGTTTCAGCCACTGGGTCAATTCATCCTTTTGAGGGTCTTCCTCCTGTGATGAACTAGAGTACAGATTTGGAGTCGTTCCCTTCCGAAGACGAGTTTCTCTCTGTTGGGTCACCTTTGGAATAGGCAGACATATGTATCTCTGCCAGTCAGTTGTCTCGGTAGCTGTCGTCCCAGTCTCTTGGCAGAGATGATCGCATTTCCCCAGTGCTGCATCATTTGTGGAAACGTTTGCATTGGTAGTCTATCAATTCCTGGAGTCTTGCTTTGCAATAATGCCCCTTCAGAGCAGCTCCAATTTCTCCCTTCAATACCATAGGCAACTCTTGAAACAGTTGAATGTTGACCAGTTCGTTTTGGTACAATGATTCTGCATATTCCTTTAATCTTCTGTTGATGCGTTCTTCACCATTTATTATTTTGCTCATAGAATTCATAAATATTGCAATTCAAGGCTTGAACTTTTCTCTTCAGTTCTTTTAGCTTAAGACATGCTGAGTGCGCTCTTCCTTTCTGCGTTGTCAGCCCCAGGTCTTTGCACACTTCCTCATAACGATTTGCTTTGTCTTCTCGAGCTGCCCTTTGAAATCTCCTGTTCAGCTCTTATACGTCAACATTTCTTCCATTCCCTTTCGCTACTTTACATTCAAGAACATGTTTCAAGTCTCTTCTGACATCACTTTGGGTCTTTTCTTTCTTTCCTGTCCTCAATGCCCCTTGGTTTTCTTCATGTATGATATTCTTTTATTTTTTTAGCAGTTTTATTGGCACTTTAGCCGAATACCATACAAATGAATAATTCTATCATAGCAAGGAGAGTTGTACAATCTTACCACAATCAATTTTAGAACATTTTCTCCCCCACCCATACTCATTGTTATTCATGTATTTTTAAAATTTTGGGCAAAATATACTGAACAAAATTCACCAATTCAACAACTTTGACGTGTACAATTCAGTGCCACTGATGTTACTCTTCAGCTGTCCAACGGTTACTGTTAACTCTCTCCAAATTGTTCCACTACCACTAGATGCACTCCGTGCTCACTAACAGAAACTCTTCCTCCTTCACCAGTGGTAATGACCATAGGTCGCTTCTTTTTTCTTTTTCTTTTTAAAGTAACAAAATGACAAAAGCAATAAACAAAACCAGAACCAACAAGATCAACAACAAAAAACAAACAAAACATTAAAAAAAGAGAAAAGAAACAAAAAGAAAAGCATTGCCAATCATTCCCTTGGGGTATAAGGTGATTGCATTAATAACATTAATAATTTAGACAATGACATTGAATTTAAGATACTGTTGATCTGAGGAGTTTGTGCGAGTATAGTTCAACTGGAGCGGCAATCCATGCATGAGTTTTTGCATTGTACAGATTAATTTCTTAATCGATTGAGCTCAACTTACACTGAGCATGGGCAGCGGTGCTCAGGGAAAATTTCCTGCATCATCTCCTACAAGGGAAGACCCTTGTTGCTCAGACCAAAACCTATCATATTACTGCAAGGGGAGCCTTGAGGCATGAAATATATGGTGGTTCTTGGTCTCTTTTCAGAGGACACCCCTTAAGTTAGTGGTCCCACTCAAGGTCAAATGACTGCCACTTGGGGTGGCTGCACAGTCTTGGGGTGGCTATCCCTTGCATCCTCTGCCATCAAGGTATTTCAGTCCTAAGTCGAAGGGTATTGGTAGTGTTGAGGTAGGGCCCCGTTCATACAGTCCCTTCGTTGCCAAGTCTTTCTGTTGTGGCCCTTGGGGGACGCCATGTTCCCTGTAAGGTCAACTCTATCATGTCAAGTCCATGTCGCGGTTCATTGAGGGTCGGGTAGAAACATGTTTGAGGTGTCTACCTGGGACCAGAGAACTGGGTTTATTTTTCTCCTTGGTTCCCTATGATTATTGTTCAGGATCGCTTCCTGATGTGAGGTTGCTTCTCCCCACTTGCCCGCCATACCTGACACCAGAGACATCAGTGCCTCCTCTGAAATGTCGATGCTCTCCTCCCTGGTCTCAATCTGACTGTCCAGTAAGGTTCTCCTCTCATTCCGGTCACAGCCTTGCCTCATTGTTGCTCAGCATCAAGTGGATGGTCTTCTCCCTTTCCCCCCCTTCTTGAAGACATGACCGCAGACAATGTGAGGTGTCCTCCCTTGAAGTTGTTCTTATGAAGTACATTTAAGGGAGGTGATGTATGATTCATGGTTGGTAGGTAGATGTTCCATCCCTTTGTTTGGGATTGGCCCCTAAGATTTGCCCAATTGCCATTGGTGATTGACTAACTTCACATAATGGTTTCCAGGTCCTTCCATGTCATGCGGTGTTTCATGCTTTCCTCGCTATTTTAAGGGATGCATAGTATTCCATTGTATACTATAGTTTCTTTATCCATTCTTCTACTGTTGGGTATTTGGGCTGCTTCTAGTTTCTTCCTTTGTGATCTGTGCTGCTATATACACAGGAGAGCTTATATCCACTCATGTTGTATCTCAATTCTTAAGGATATGTACCTAATAATGTTATTGCTGGATCATATGGGATTATAATTCCCAGTTGCTTTAAGTATCTCCATATCATTTTCCATATTGGTTGTATGTGTTTACAAGTCCACCAACAGTGTATATGCACTCCAATCTCCACACAACCTCTCCAGCATTTGTTGTTTTTCTGTTTCTTTTAAATTGGGCTACCATTGTGTGTATAAAGTGGTATCTCATTGTGATTTTTATTTGCCTCTCCCAGATGGCTAGTAATCATGAACATTTATTCATGTGTCTGTTAGCCATTTGTACATCAGTTTTGGTGAACTGTCTGTTCATGTGTTTTTCCCACTTCTTAATTGGGTCGTGTATTCATTTCTTACTGAGTTGTTTTAGAGTTTTGTATATTTTGGTAATTAGACCCTTGTCTGATGTGACGCTAGTAAAATAACTGGGCTCTCGTTTTACTCTCCTAATAAAGTCTTTAGATGTACATAAGTAATGCAATTTCAGCATGCCCCGCTCATCTATCTTGTCTTCCTCTGTGTGTGCCTCCTTCACTATACCTGGTAAACTATGGATGCCCTGCAATGGGGCTCTGAAGTTTGTTCCAGCTTTCTCCTGGATGATCCTGATAGAGGGGTTTGCATTTAGGACTTTAAGCCATCTTGAATTCATTTTTGTTCTTAGAGATAAAGGTCTAGTTTCATTAAATCCAGCTTGTCCAACACCATTTGTTGAAGAGGCTGTCTTTGACCCATTGGATATTTTCTAGGTCCTTTGTCAAAGATTAGTTGTGTGTAGGTTGATGCATTTATGACCTGGTTTCTGTTCTGATCCATTGGTCTATAGGTCTTTCTTTGTACCAGTACCAGGCTGTTTTGACTACTGTGGCTATGTAGTGGGTCTTTAGGGCAGGTAGTGTGCTAAGCCTCCTCTTTGGTTCTTTTTAAGCTCTTTTCTTATCCTGGGTCTTTTGCCTACCCATATGAAGTTGCTTATTATTTTTTTCATTTTTTAAAAGAATGTATTTGGGATTTGGATTGCATTGTATCTGTAGATTGTTTTAAGTAGTATTGACATTTTCATAGTATTAAATCTGCCTATCCATGAGTATGGGTTATTCTTCCATTTATGTAGATATTTTTTTGGTTCTTATAATAATGGTCTGTAGTTTTCTCTGGCTTTCTTTTCTTTAGTTAGGCTTACTCCTAAGTATTTCATCTTTTATGTGGTTATTATAATGGTATTGTTTTCTTAATGTCTTTTTCATAGCTCTCTTCTTTAGTGAAGAGGAATCCAATTGATTTCTGGTTATTAATTTTGTAGCCTGCTACCTTGCCAAATTCCTTGATTGTTTCCAGTAGGCTTTTTGTAGAAAGTTTTGGGCTTTCCGTATATAGGATCATATCATCTGCAAATATCGAAAAGTTTCACTTCTTTTTTGCCTACTTGTAGTCCTTTGTTTTCTTTTTGTTGTCTGATAGCTCTAGCTAAGAATTCCAGCATGATATTGAATAAGAGTGGTGATAGGGGACATCCTTGTCTGGTCCCTATTTTCTGTAGAAATGTCTCTAGTTTCTCCCATTGAGCATGGTGTTGGCTGTTGGTTTTCATATATGACTTTTATTGTGTTGAGGAATTTCCCTTCTATTCCTATTTTGTTGAGCCTTTTGATAAAAAATGGGGTGTGGGGTACTGTCAAAAATGCCTTTTCTGCATCTGTTGATGTGATCATGTGTTTTTCAATCTTTGCCTTTTTGATGTTGTATAATATTCTTGAGGTCACCCCACTACTTGTCAGATCTTCTGTCATCAGTTTCTATGTATCAAATCTATTCTTGAAATACTCTCAGAATTCAGGTGGGACACACTCTAGATCGTATTTCTGCTTTCATGCGCTTGTTTTCATTGTCTTCAGCTTCAGCCTGACGTGGAGATGAGCAGTTGACGGTCTGTCCCACAGTTGGTCTACTGCCTTGTGTTTTGGCTGATGCTATCGAGCATCTCCTTTTTCTCTTCCCACAGATACAGTCAATTTGATTCCTGTGTATTCTCTCTGGTCAGGTCCACGTGTACAATTGCTGCTTATATTGTCCCCCCCCAAAAAAGGTATTTTCAATGAAGACATTATTGTCCTGAAAAATGTTATCATGAGATATCGAGCTTTGTTTCTGTCAGCAAGGCCATGTTTTCCTCTTAGTTTTAAACTTTCACATTCTACTCACCATGCATCTTGATTACATGTGTGAGCATTTCAAATTTAAGAAGTTGGTAGAATATTATAATTTCCTCAATGTTGGCTTTAGTGCAGCAGTTCTCAACCTGTAGGTCACGACCCCTTTGGGGCTCGAACGACCCTTTCACAGGGGTCGCTTAAGATCATCAGAAATCATATTTCCGATGGTCTTAGGAACCGAGATACTGCTCCTCTACCTGTCTCCAGGAGGATCTGCCCACATGCAGACACCCCCACACTGGAGTACCTGGCATGAAGACTGTTACCCATGCTACACCATGCTTCAAAGCAAAATTTCATTTATTTGTAATCAGAAATAAATATTTCACAACATATAATTATATGTTGTTTTGTGATTAATCACTATGCTTTAATTATGTTCAATTTGTAACAATGAAAATACATCCTGCATATCAGATATTTACATTATGATTCATAACCGTAGCAAAATGACAGCTATGATGTAACAACGAAAATAATTTTATGGTTGGGGGTCACCACAACCTGAGGAAAGGGTCGTGGCATTAGGAAGGTTGAGAACCACTGCATTAGGGGTTTGTGTGTAAATCTGAATGATAATTGAAGTTGTGTGGATTTTAACTATCATATACAGCACTGTACTTCAAGAGAGATCTTGATGTGTTCTTTTAGATGATGAATTTGACACAATCCCTCTTAAATTTGTCCTTTTGGCATAGAAAGCCAAATGGTTTTCTGATTCAAAATGACCAATACCAGTCCATTTCAGCTTATTAATGTCTATGATACTGACCTTGATTTTCATTTTGAAATGAAAATGTCCAGTTGTCCCACATTCATCCTTGTGCAGTGCATGTTCCAACTCATCAGTTGGAGGTCCTAAAAACTTTCTCCATTTGCATTATTAAGGTCCACTCTCAAGGGGGCAGATCTTCCCGAGTCATATTTTGAGTGACTGCCACCGGAGAGGCTTATCTTCTAGCACTATTTGGACAGTGTTCTTTGCTATGCATAAGGTTTTCAGAGCCTAATTCTTCAAACAGTGGACAGCCTCTTCCTTATTCCTTATCTACTTAGTTTGGAGGCTCTGTGGTAACCTCTTCACCATGTATGACCCTAATGATATTTGGAATACCAGTGTCGAAGTTTCCAGAATCACAGCAGCATGTGAGTCACCATAGCACAACTGACAGACAAGCAGAGCTCAGCCTGTGATATCAATCTTTCTCTGCATTTTAAGGAACTTCCGATTTTAATGGATTCATATTTTATACCGCCCACATTCCAACTATTAATGAGGTTTGTAGTTTTTTTTCTTCTTCCTCTATTTTGAGTGGTTCTCTTTCAGCAAATGAAGGTCTCTAAAGCTTTGCTTCATTTACATAATTAAGGTTGACTCTACTTTGAGGAAGCACTTGTTCACCAGTTATATTTTGAGTTCCTTCCAACCTGAGGGTCTCAACTTCTAGCACTGGATCGGAAAATGTTCCATTGTTATTTATAATGCTTTCTGTTGTCAGATTTTCAGAAGGGGACTGCCTTTTCCTACTTCCTAATCAGTTTTAGTCTGGAAACGCCAATGAAACCTGTCCAGTGTATGATGCGGCTTCAAAAATCTTGTGGAAAATTCCTTTATCTTTTCATTCCATTTCCCACTTACTTTCTGAAGCCTCTCGTATTTAAAACAGCAATTGTAAAACTCCAGCAGCACAGTAACACAGTTACCACAGTAGAACAAACTGATAGAAGAGTGGTGGCAATGAGCCTGGGGCAAAATAAATACCCAACTGCACCTTTTATTAACTGTCCAAAAGTTTGATAAGTGTTTTTGTCTTAATGAAATAATAAGTTATTTGAAAAACAAATTATACAGATAGATTGAGAGATATTTGTTATCCTTAAAAACCAGTTACTTCCTCAGGTGCACTGCACAATTTGTTAACATTTAGAATCAGATTGGATACTGCCAACCTAATTTGAATACAAGAGACATTTGCTTTTTGCCAGAGCAACTGACAGAAACCTACCTTTATAAAGCCAAGCCACTGATGATGTGTGGCAAAACCTAACGTGAAAATTGTGAAATAGGCTGAGCTGGTATTGCTTGGTGTCTGATAGATGTTGTAAATCTTTGTGATTTCTTCATAAAAATTTTAAATATCTTGCAGCACATTTTACTGAGTGGTATTAAGATCTTTCTTCCTGTTTTACCTTTCTATATATACTTTACTATTATTGAATTTTCACTTTTAAAGGAAGGTAGTAGAAAGTTACTAGGACACATTGTACTTTTTCCAGGTTGACAATCTACAAACATTGTACATTTTCTTTGGCATTTGAGAAAGTATATGTTAGTCATAGTAAAATTAGCATATGCATACATACAAATATAAAATACTCAGGTTAAATATATTTAACAGGGCTTCAGTCAAATAAGTATCTCCCTGCTGTATTTTTCCAAAGGTTTAAAGGAAACTATCATACTCAAAATACAGAAATTTATGCTAAGTGCACAACATCTTAACAAATGAACTTTTATGGAGAATTAAAGACCTTAATGGATGCAAGTTAGATACTTATTTATCTATGAAAAATTTTCCAGGCAAAGCGTTTAGAAAAAGATGAATTCAAGAATTATAATTTCACATTTATTATAGGAATTTTATGCTTGATCCCTTCTGGGTTCTATTCTGTCATCCATTTAAAAACTGATCGGGTAGGAGGTAGGAATTCAGGGATTGTTGGAAATGCTCTCCCAAATGTTCCCTAACTCAGGCCGTTTCAGAACTGTGAGCATGCAAGGGGAGGCTCGAGGAAGAGCTGCTCTCATTACCCATTGACAGTGACCCCCCCCTCCCCTGGAAGGGTGCTGATGTTGGAAAAGTCCGCTTTCCTCCAAGCTCCCCTTTTGCTGGGGTTTCTGTGAGGGAGGTTAGATACACACCCTGCAGCTGAGTGGTTTAAAATGTACTCTCCTTTGGGGTGGTCTTCTTTGGGGGCCAATGGATGAGAGGGAAATCAATAGTACAACTGTTTTGAGATGGAAAATTGACAAGTGTCTTTTTGAAAAAAGAATCAGTCCCTCCAAAAATGAAAAAGAAAATGACTACCCCTTTCCTTCCATAACAAAGGGAAAATACAGATATGAAATTATGTAGATGAGTCAAGAATTAAGAATAAAGGGAGTGACTGAAGCAAAGAGAAATAAGAAAGCACAGGAATATGGCTCTTAAATTAATTTCATTTGCTTAGAGTTTCTGTAAATACCAGAAAATTTAAATGAGTCAGACAAAATTGGAAGCAAAGAATCAGTTTATCTAAAGATAAGTATCTAAGAAATATTTTCTGTTATCTAGTGTTCTTATTTGGAGGCACCTACCTTGTCCACTCAAAATCCTTCTCATTAAAGATATTTTTAAGTAGTAAATCTTTCACTATGTCTCTGCAGTGAACGTAAAGGATAAGCAGTGAGCCCAGGACGGCTTTAGTTCGGAAGTTATTAATATTCAACACAACCAGCTCAGCAACCTCCTCAAGATGCGCTATCACACCAGCACGGACTGTCTCCAAGTCTGCTCTTGGATCAGAACTCATGAAGCTTTTGACACAATCATTGTTAAACATAATCTGGCTCTGAAAAGGAAAAATATCAATGTGATCATTAAAGCAATTTAAAAAATTAAAAGACGTTTTCATGATATGTATGTGGTGTGCATTTGTGTGAGCATAATTGCCCATATGTGAGAGAAAAAGCCCACACATTTGTATACATTGGAGGGTAAAAAATTGAAACTGGATTAATATCTGTGAGAACCTTCATTAGTTAAAATGGAGATATAGTTATCACCAATATTTATACTTTCTAGAGCTTACATCATTCATTCATTCATTCATCACAAGTATAAATAATAACCTGGGAACTGTAACAATAGAGAAAAAAGAATACACCGAGGAATGGGTTGGAAGGGAAGGTGGTTGAAAGTAAAGATGGAGAGGGAAGAAGATCTGAAGTGAACAGAGAGAAAGACAAAAGGAGAAACATTAAATAGAAAAGAAACAAGGACTGAAATGTGTCGGAGGTCGATTCTATTCTTGACTTTTACTAGATATGGGTCTATGGTGACTTTCTATTCCGAATGCCACTGACTTAAAAGCTTAGAGATACACTAATCTTATGAACTCATTCAACATGTGGTCAGCAGGAATTTGAGGCATTTAACATAAACTGGTGTGTGTGGCATTTTCAATAACCTCATATGGTTGTGAAAAATACACAGTGAATAAAGAAGATTGGAGAAGGATTGATGCCTTTAAATAGCAGTATTTTTGAAGACCCCCTCTTGTCTCTCAGTTTGTCATTCTTGCAAAGTGGTGATTCGATAAACATCAATACTAATTAGTGAATAAGACTTAAAGGCAGCATTTGTGATAAATGGAAAAGGCTTAATATATAACAATGTAACAGTAATGCCTAATAATGAAGATAAAATAAAATTTTCCTTAGGCATCCACTGTACTTTTAAAATTCATGAATATCTATTTATATATATAAATTGGCTACTTTTAGACAACAACACTGTCTGCCAGTTTGTTGTATGGCGGTGGCTTGTAAATCAGTGTGATGATGGGAGCTATATCACTGGTATTTCAAATGCCAGCAGGGTCACCCAAAGGATATAGGTTTCAACAGAGCTCCAGGGAAAGAACAGACTATGAAAGAGGACTTGGTTCCCCACTTCAGAGGAAGTAGCTGCTGAAAACCTTATGCACAGAATGGAGACACTGTCAGATATTGAAGGCCCAATGAATGGACGTAGAACATTGTCAGAGACAGTGCTACAGTATAGGTTCCTTGGGTTGGAAGGCACTCGAAATGTGACAGAGGAGGAGCTGCTTTCTCAAACTAGAGGTGACCATGGTGACATGAATGGAGCCAAGCCTTCTGGATCTTCATTTGATGATGGGCACAACTCAAAGTTAGAAGAAACAGCTTCAAAAATCTACTAATAGTCTGAACTTTGGATGTACAAAGTATGAATCTAGGCAAATCAGAGTTGTCAAAAATGGAATGAAGACATACAGATCTACAGCTAGACGTGGTGAGCTGAAATGGCCTGGTATTGGCCATTCTGAATCAGAAAACCATAAGGTTTACTATGTCAAGAATGACACAATCAAGAGGCATGGCACTGCATTCATTGTTAGAAGAGACATTTAAAGAGCTATTCTGAAGTACAATGCTCAGATTATATCTATCCAAATTCAAGGAAATCCAATCAATACAACCATTATTCAAATTTACGCACCGACCATGAAAGCAAGTGATAAAGAAATTGAAGAATTCTACCAACATCTTCAGTTGGAAACTGATCAAACATGCAATCAAGAAACATTGATAATTATTGGTGATTGGAAGGCAAAAGTTGGAAACAAAGAAGAAGGAACAATAATTGGAAAATATGGTCTTAGTGATAAAATAGAAATTAGAGACTGCATGATAGAATTTTGCAAGACCAATGACTTGTTCATAAAAAATACATTTTTCCACAATGCAAACATTGACTATGTACATAGACTTCAGATGGAATACACAGAAATCCAATTGACTACACCTGTGGGAAGAGATCACAGGGAAGCTCAATATCAGCAGCTAAAACCAGACTAGTGGCTGATTGTGGAACAGACCATCTACTGCTTAGATATAAGTTGTCTGAAGTTGAGGAAAATTAAAATGAGCCCAAACCAAAAACCAAAACTCTGCCATTGAGTTTATTCTGACTCATAGTAACCCTGAGAGGTAGAACTGCCCCTATGAGTTTCCAAGACTGCAACTCTTTTCAGATGTAGAAAGCCCAGACTTTCACCTGAGTTGCTGGCTGGTGGTTTTGAACTGCTGATCTTATGGTTAGTAGCCCTACAGGTAATTACTATGCCACCAGGGATCCTGGTTCATGAGAACCAAGTACAAACATGAGTCTATCCCACCTGAATTTTGAGAAAATCTCAAGAATAGATACAACATGTTGAACACAAATGACAGAAGATCTGATGAGCTATGGGAGGACATCAAGAACATCATTCATGAAAAAAGCAAAAGGTCATTAAAAAGACAGAAAAGATCAAAGTGGATGTCAGGAGAGACTCTGAAACTTAATCATAGAGCAGGCTAAAGCAAATAGAATAAAGATTTTAAAGGCTTGAAGATAAACAAGCAGCCATCTAGCTCAGAAGCAACAAAGCCCACATGGAAGAAGCACACCAGCCTGTATTTATTTATTTTAAAACTGAAAGTACTTTTAGATGTCTCAAAAAGGAGATAAAATCATGTGTCACATTTTAACCATTCGAATTAGATGTTATATTATTGTAATCTACTATAATTGTCTCTGGTGTAATGGTCATGCATTGGGAGGTGATCCTTATGGTTCGCAGTTAACTAGGCTTTCTACTCCCTACACAGTTATAGTCTCAGAATTTACTTGGATTTACTTTATGTCTCACTTAGATGGCTGCTTGTTTGAAGACAATCCTATAAGATCCCAGACATTATTCTTTCTGATAGCCAGGCACCATCTAGCTTATTCAAAGATATAGAGATCACTCAGACGTCCTGCTCGGACCACTATGCCTTAAAGCTGAACATCAAAAAAGAAGAGCAGAAAAAGAAGGGTAAATAACTGCAGGATGAATAACGATTTTCTGTGACACGAATGGATCACAGAAGAAATTAGGAATTTTCTACAAACTAATGAGAATGAGAATACAACATACCCAAACCTACGGAATACAGCAAAAGCAGTTATCAGAGGAAGGTTGATAGCGATTAATGCATGTATGAAAAAGGAAGAGAGACTTATGACTGATACACAATCATAAAACCTCCATCAACTAGAACAGAGTCAACAGAACAACTCCTCCAATAGCAAAAAAGAAACAATAAAAATCAGGGAAGAGTTAAATGAGTGGCAAGACAACAATGCAAAAAAAATCAATGCAGCAAAAAGCTAGTTCTTTGACAGGATCAACAGAATCGACAGTATGCTGGCAAGTCTAACCAAGGAAAGGAAGGAACAAACATCAATAGTCAGGATGAGGGATGAAACAGGGGAAATTACAATGGACCCAGAGATTAAAAGGATAATCACAAAGTACTATGCAAGTCTATATTCTAATGAATTCAACAACATGGAATATATGGACAAATATTTTGAAAAATAATCCCTCCCTAGATTATCCCAAATAGAGGTCAAGAACCTCAACAGACTCATAGTAAAAGAAGAAACAGATATGGTTATCTAGAAACTATCAATGAAAAAAGTCCCTGAACCAGACGGCATCACAGGAGAATTCTACCTCGTATTCAGGGAAGAGCTGACACTGATCCTCCACAAATTATTCCAGAGCGTGGAAAAAGAGGGAAAATTCCCTAACTCATTCTACAAAGCCAGTATAATTTAATACCAACACAAGGCAAGGATCTCATAGAAATAGAGAAATACAGATCAATATCTCTATTCAACATAGATGCAAAAATCCCTAATAAAATATTGACGAAAAGAATACAAAAGTATATAAAACATATCATACATCATAATGAGGTGGGATTCATTTCAGTGTGCAGAGATGGTTTAACATCTGAAGGTTGATCAATATTATTCGCTACATTGATCAGAAAAAGGATAAGAATCACATGATAATATCAATGGAGGCAGAAAAAGCATTTGACAAAGTCCAACACCCACTCCTAAGTAAGACACTTATGAAGATAGGAATGGAAGGAAAATTCCTCAAGTTAATACAACCTATTTACACAAAACCAATAGCCAACATCAGAGTCAATGTAGAAAAGATGAAAACAATCCTACTGAAAAAGGAGACTAGACTAGGATGCCCCTTGTCCCCTACAGAGGACAACACTAAGCCAACAGGTTGGGGAAAGGGGCTGACCTGCCACACCCAGAAGCAAACCAAGAAGGAAAAAGAGAAAGAGCAAGGGACTAGACTCCATTCTGGCACACCAAGTCCTGAGGATGATGGCCCTGCACGTAGCTACTAAGGCACAGAGAAGACTGTAAGGCTGACAACAGCTCTGGACATGATGTTCCCTTGCTGGAGCATACTGTGACAGAGGACAATACTGGGGACCCACAGCAGGGAGTGAACCAAGAAGGGAACATAACAGACCAGCAATGGGAGCAAAGCAAAGCCACAACCCCCTTAGGAGCCCCCAAAATAGACTTCAGGCTAGAAGGGGCAGTTCCCAGAACCCTCCAGGACCGGTGGGGAGATAGTCATAAAGGTCAGTGGATAGACCTGGAATTACGTATGTTTTTTTTGGGTTATTTTTTCTCTTTTTTTTTTTCCAATCGTTTGTTTTCTTTTTGTTTTGTCTCTCTGTTATTGTTGTTTTGCCTACAAATATAAGGTAGGCATGAGAAGCAAGCCCTAGAAGAAAGCAACCGGACCAATGATTCCAGAGGGACCTGGGAGGAGGTGGTGGTGGGGGAAAGGAGTGGTGAGCAAACAATGGCATAGACAGGGGAACAACTAGGGAATTAAAAGCAACAATGAGGAGGAGGACATAGATTTAAAGTGGTGTTGGAGCAACAGCAATCTAGCTGAGAGGAATAACTAAGAGGCAGAAGAAAGGTGAACATAATGGTGGGGCAGGAGGAAGGTAAAAGGAAATAGAGGAAAGACCTAGGAAGCAAAGCTATGGATAGAGGTATAAACATAGGTGTGCATTAATGTAAATATATTAATTCAAAAAAATAGATGTATTGGCCTATATACATATAGTTTTATGGCAATACAATGAGAAAGTTGATGGACTTCGGGCCTTTCCTCAAGCCCTCTGTCAATGCAAGAACACTTAGTTCTAACAACCTAGAATTCTGTGATGCTCAACCTCCCAATGTGATCGCTGAAGATATAACAGGTGCATGAATAAATGTGGTGAAGAAACCTGATGATGCCTGGCTCTAGCGTCTGGGGTCTTAAATGCTTGAAGTTAAACAAGCAGCCATCTAGCAGAGAAGCAACAAGACCACATGGAAGAAGCACACCAGCCTGTGCCATCATGAGATGTGGAGGGAATCAGGTAACAGGTACCAGAAGACCCAAAACAAACAACACCCCCTCCCATATTGTTGAGAATGAGGGGGGTCAGAGCAGAGACCCAAAACCCATCTATAGCCAATAGAAGATCACTTCACAGAAGGGTCACAAGGAACTGATGAATCAATCAGGGCACCATGTAGCACTGATGAAACACACAATATTCCTCTGGCTCTTTGAGGTTTCCTCACCTCCCATTATCATGACCCCAGTTCTGCCTTTAATTCTGGCTAGACCAGAGCAGACACACTGGTATAGGTAAGAACTCAATACATGGCATCCAGGTCAGAGAAACCCCTAAGGAACAGATATGGGAGTAGCGACACTAGGAGGGGAGGGGGAATGTATGAGGAGGAGGGGAGGAAGGAGGATCATTGTGAACCAATCACAATGATCGATGTATAACCTGCCCCCCAGGAGGATGAACAGCAGAAAAGTGGGTGAAGGGAGACAGTGGTTGGTGTAAAATATAAAAACAATAATAATTTATAATTTATCAACAGGGTCACAAGGGGTGGGGAGGGAGGGGAAAAAAGAGGAGCTGATACCAAGGGCTCAAGTAGAAAATAAATGTTTAGAAAATGATGATGGCAACATATGTACAAATATGCTTGATACAATTGATGTAGGGAATGCTACAAGAGGTGTAAGAGCCTCCAATAAAATGATTTAAAAAAATAAAGAAAAGAAAACCTATAAACAAAAACAACAACAACAAAAGAGTTACAGTCTCAGAAATGCAGAGGGGCAGTTCTACCCTGGCCTAGTTTCACTATGAGAAGACCATCCAGACATGGAATGAACTTTCATACAAAGTATGTTCAATGATTGATGTTGAAGTCTATCATAAAGTATTTCTGGAAACAGAATCCAGGAGCCTTCTTGTTGTTAACCATGTTGACAGCATCAGCAATCTAGGGATGGTCTTTCTTTGTAGAGCAACTTTGATTACCTGGATCCCTGTTATACCATAGAAATGTGCAGAGTGAGCCATTATCTTCTTTTTTTGGTATTGCAAATAATAGCCCAATACAAGTCAGTCCTTCAAATTAAGATCTTAGAGATTTGAATTCTATGATTCAAATAAGTGGTCAGTCAGTGGGACCAAGGAGCTTTGAGAATAATTTGTGTTCACAATCCTAGATTACCTTTAAATACTTGAAAATTGTGGTGGGTAAAGATAAAGTAAAAAGATGTGATGCTGTTTTAAAATTGAATAGAGAGCTACTAGGTCAAGCAGATATCAATAATATTTGATAGCAACCTAGGACAATATAGCATCTATCTTCATCACTCCAGGAGAACTTTCATGTTAGTCCTCACCACTAAGTGACAAGGATTTTCTAGGGGAAAAAAAGAAAGAAAGAAAGCATGTATGAAAATTCCTCTGGTTTAGCTTCTATAAAAATTCTCTTCCTCTCTCTCTCTTCCTTTTCCCACTCCTTAAATGTTGATGTTTCTCGAGATCTTTCCTTATGTCTCTTTGCTGAGCATACACATTTAGCCGGGAAATCTCACTCTACTGGCTCTCTCTACTGGCATTGCATTTTCCTGGTTCTCCTCCTCCTTTCTCCTTTGAGTGCCAGAAAAACTATAAATAGGAAAAAATGCACGTGGGAGGCAAAATAATGGCTGTTATGATATCCAACGTGTACCTCCTGGAACTTTGCTTGAAACATAGTACCTTGATCTGTGTTGGATTTTTAACCTATAGAATTGTATGATAATCATGTGTGTTGTTTGACATGTGGTAACATTTAGTGGGAACAATAGAATGTTAATATGTACATTAGAGACAAAATGACACCTCAGGGAAGTAATGTATGCTTTGGTCTCTTGAAACCCTTTGTGAAGAATATTTTCAGAATTATAGAAGAGTTGATGAACTTCTATAGTGCATACCTATACATTTATCAATTACATTCTAAAACTAATGTTACTCAATTTATTTAATGTAAGTCTGCCCAGCTGTACCACATTTTTTATGCATTTCAAAGCACATCACAGATACTAGTAACTTTCATAATGGTTATTAAAAAAAGTAGTAGCTACTTTCTTTGCACTGTATCCATAAATTCATTACCTACGGATGTTCATAAAAGCAGAATGACCTTACCACAGTGAGCACCACTTGTCCGGGATGCGACACCACCCACGTGGAAAAGCGTTGGTTGTTCCACTCTTCAATTCCATGACTAACAAATCTACAAACAAAAACTGTTATTATAGTGTGCAGATCTGATCATTCATTTTGACCATTTAAAATGATCAAGCATGACAAGGTCACAGGGAAATTTCCTTCACTTTTGGTTCTAATTTAGGAGCTCTGGTGGTACTGTGGAGTAAGCATTGATCAACTAACTTCAAGGTCATTGGTTCAGATCCACCAGCCACTCAGAGGGAGTAAGATAAGGCAACCTGCTCCCATAAAGATTTAGTTTTAGAATCCATGTATTGGGTCACTACATATTGCAATCACCTTGATGGCAGTCTGTTTAGCTTTTGGATAGTACTAAATAGAGTTAAAAGAGATGCCTTATTGTTATGTGCCACTGAGTTATTTCAACACACAGTGACATTGTGACCGAATTGAATTGCCTCATAGGGTTTCCAAAGCTGTAATCGTTAAGGGAGCAGATCACTAGGTCTTTCTCTGAGGAAATGCTGGGTGGGTTCAAATAACCAACCTTTCAGTTAGCAGCCAAAAGCTTAATTAATGTGCCCCCAGGGCTCATGCTTAATGCATATTCCTTAAATTCCCATTTAAAATAATCTGTATTTTTCCAATCAGGCCATTGAATTTCTGGGAAGGTAAAATCTAAGCATGTTATGTTAGGAGATTACATGTATTAGCTTTAAATTGCTAATACTATCTATGACAAAATTAGTAGTTAAAATAATTACTGTAAGATAGAATACTAGAATACTAGACTGAAAGCACAAAATGAATTTTAACAGAGAACTCCTGCATTTCGCTTTAAAAATAGTTTATAACAGAGAATGTAAGACTTGTGGAAAATGTCCACAAAAGATCAAGATTAGCACTCCCTGGGAGACATTGCAGCTGACAAGACACATGGAACTACACTAGTGCCCTGAGCTGGAGGAGCCACGTGGACCTACCCTGATGCAACCAGACCTCTGAAGACGGAGAAGCCATTTAGAGACCCCTGGCCAGTGCTGAGGTGCTTACAACGCCACTGGATCCAAAGACATTCTACCCACTGGCCTGTGATCATCCTGCATTTGGCGTCATTGCATGTGTTTTGTTTGAGTCTGAAGAGGACTTTATAGATTGGTATCGGAAATATGGGCTAATATCGGACTTATGGGCTTGGACTGGACTGGGTTGGGATGCTTTTTAAATCCACAATTACCCTTTATATAAAACTCTCTCTTATACACACACACACACACACACACACACACACACACACACACACGATCAAGATTAATATAAGTCATTAGTAGATATTTTGATATTGTTGTGGTTTTCTTTATTCAGACATTTAAAATTTCTATATCCAGGTAGTCAAATTGATACATCATTTGTGTTGGTTACTCTATCATTGATATCATGGTCCAAAAAGTCTCAACACAAATATTCACTTATTTTCCTCTTATATGGACTTATATGGCTTTTTCCTCTTCTTTAAAAAAATGTACCTATATTAAATTCATATAGAGTTTAGTATAGTAGGATACATATTATTATATGCCACCCCCTCAACAACAACAAAAAAGCTGATAGGAAAAATAAATTCTTTTTGAAAATCAAGTATTGTGTTGAATTACCCAATGGTCAAGTATGAAAGTAAAAATAATTTCCCCTGAATCTCAATATGTAAGGGCAAAAAGGTAGAAAGTTAAGACACTTGGAGAATAGAATAGAATTTTGAATAGTTGCATAGTAGGAATTCTAAAAAAGAAAAAAGTAGAATAAGGATAAGAAAATAAAGTATAAGATAACAGAGAATATTTTAGAACATTTCCTTCTTTCTTTTTAAAAGTTTTATTAGCACTTCATCCACGTCATCCAATTCAATAATTCAATCATATCAAGAACAGTTGTACAATTATCACCATATTCAATTTTCTTCTTCCTTATACTCATTGTTATTCATGTATTTTTTCAAATTGTGGCAAAAAAATACACAAAACATTCTCCAAGCCCATACTTCTACTTGCATAATTCAGAGCCATTGATTATACTCTTGTACAACCATTATTTATATCCTTTTCCAAATGATTCCATCACCATTGATATAAACTCAATGCCCCCTGGGCAGCACCTCTTTCCCCTTCACGCACGGTAGCCATTGGTCAAGCTTGGTTTCCCTCCTTCTTCTTTGTCTTTTTTTGTAGTTTTCTTGGTATCGTATTCACATATCATACACTTTCATGGCTAAGTCACCTTTAAAATGAGTTGTATAAAATTGTGCTTGATACAAAGGATGATTGTTATAAGAGCTGTAAGAGCCCCCAATAAAATGATTATAATAAAAAAAGAGTTGTATAAACATAATCATGATCAGTTCTAGTGTTCCTTCCCCCTTCCCACATTTATTGCTTACTCCCCAAAACTCCTCACCCTCCCCATCTCTCACCCGCCCCCACATCCCGAATAAACTATTGCATCAGTTGTTATTTCTATGCACCTACTTCTGTGCTTCACAAACTGGGACTACCAACAGAAACAATAAAAACCAAAGCCAAAATAAAATGGTAAGAATAAAATAATAATAATTATATAAAGATAAAAATTTTAAAAAGAGTAAGAAAGAAAAGACCATCATCAACAATTTTAAAAACCAGAGGGAAAAAATTTTTGCTTCATGGAACAAGCAAGAAATACTTGAGCCTAGAATAAATTCAGGTTGGGTTAAGAGGGAGATCAACTGACCAAATGTCAAGTTATACCATGTTCAATCCACCACAATCAAGTTTACAATAATCTCTGTTTGATAGTAAAGCGGTTTGAGTCCCTCGCCTGTGGCTAGAAGGGATCTGCCAGAGGCTTAATCTGACTAGATACTCTGCAGGCGGATTTGGGGTTCCCACTGTCTTTCATAGCCTTCTACAAAATTGGGTGTTCACAATTTAAGCTCTGATACATTTTATTCATCATACCTGAGATTAGTCAAGCACAAAGGACAGATATTGTATGAAACCATTATCATAAAAAGTCAAGGACAATCTTGCAACACTAAAGGCAACATTCTTTGATGAGTACCAGGAATGCGAGAGGAAGGGAATGAGAGTCTAGTGTTACAGGCTAGAGGGTGGATCAGTGATAACTTAGGTGAAAGAAAAGCAAAATACAAAGGGAGGTTAGGAATAAATGATGGATAAAGTGGGAAAAATTGGGAGGTTTGCAATGTTTAAGGATAAAAAGAGGCAAAAACTATTATATACAAAATCTGGGAACAGTAGGGTGTTAGGAGCTGCTCTGAAAGCAGAGGTCTGTTCGTTCAAATGTGGACGTGCAGACACAGCTCTTTCACGGTCAGATTGTCTCTCTCACGGTCAGGTTAACTTTTGTGCTTTAATGTTATTGAAAACATCAGGTGCTTAGTCTTGGGAAAAATATTTGCCTGACAAACAAGAACAAGGATGGGGGTGTTATTTTGAGCAATAGTACATTCCCACTTAACAGTGTATAAAAGCTGGAAAATAAACTCGGGGCTGCAGTCTTGAATTGCAGTCCTTCTAACCCCAGCTTTTTTGTGTCTGTCTCAGTCCTCACCCCCTCAATCGAGTCCCCGTTGCTTTGCCGGTGGGCTCCGGCAGTAGGGATCTATGAGTAGAGGCTCAGAAAGACATGCTGGCTGAACAGACGGGAGAGGGAAGGTCGGAGTGTAGATATAGGTGTGTCTGAGGATATTTGTATATGCATACTCACCTTTTCTGAAAAGATATCAATGAATGTGTGGAACATATAGCGCACAAAAGTATGAAAACTTCTTAGATGTAAACAAATGAGTTGCTGGGCTGGGGAATCAGGACCATCGTCTTGAGGGACACCACGATTGATTGGCATAACAGTTTACCAAGACACTGTTCTACCTCCTACGTTGTGAGCAATGGCGAGGCTCTCCTAAGATTGTGACAGCCATCCAGGGAGGCGCTCCTGGTCTCTACCCTCCTTGGTAGAGTGACCAAGCAAACAGCATGCAAACAATCAACCCGATAGGTTAATGGACTACATGCGCATAAGTCTCCACAACCCCGAAGCCAGAAGAATTAGATGGCACCCAGTTACCACTACCACATGTTTTGGAAAGCATCACATTAAAAGTTACGGGAAAGAGTGGGATCAAAACGTGGAGCAGAACTCAAAATCAGAAAAAGATAGCCAATTTACTGTGGGACCCCTACGGTTTGGAAATGAACTCACTTTCCATTAGAATGATCAACTTTTTAAGATCCAAATGGAAGCAGTTACCCAAGGATATTGTTGAAGCGTTCAGAAAATAGGAGTACTGGAAACAGGAAGCACAGGAAAAAAGTGGGATTCATCACGGTCCATTGAGGGGATTGCACTGCACGAGTTGAATCGACAAGATGGATCGGCACCGTGGCTGCAATAGTGGGTTCCACGGTAAGAACAATGAGAGGATGGGACTGGGAAGTGTCTTATTCTGTTATACATAGGGCCACTTGAGTTGAAATCGACTTGATGGCATCTAACGACAACTACAACAGCTAAATGATAAGGCATGGAAACAAAGGAAATTTGTCACAAAACCATGAGGGGCATCACAGCAACGGACAGGACCACAAAAGCAGGAAAGGGACCACATTCATGATACATGCATTATTGCCGATTAGAAAAACGTACAATGTTTATACTTTCTGTATACCAAAAAACCCAAACTCACCGCTAGAGAGTTGATTGCAACTCATAGTGACCCTATGGGACAGAGTAGAACTGTCCTGTTGGTTTCTGAGACTAAATCATTACGGCAGTAGCCTCATCATTCTCCTTCTGAGCAGCGGTTAGTTTCAAACTACTGACCTTATGGCTAGTAGCCCATATGCCAGTGGGGGTCCTTAGCTTCTGTAGAACTACGTCAAAATATATAAAGTCATTCACCCTAACAACAAAATTGTCTGTCAATTTTTAAATACTGTGGTGGCTTGCATGTTACTATCATGCCCAAAGCTAGGTTGTCATTATTTCAGATACTAGCAGGATCACCCA